GTCGCTCCCCCTCCGCTGCCCAGCCTGGGCCCGGGGCCGCGGCCGCTGCCGTCTCCATGGCGACCGCCCTCAGCGCCGCATCCGGAGGCTGCGGGCCCGAAGCGGCCTGTCCGCAGGCCCGGGGTCGCAGGAGCGGCACTGGAGGCTGCACAGGGACGAAAAGACCACGGCTTCCCCTTTAAAGCAGGATCTGCTGGCCCCGAGCTTGCCCCAAGGCCAAGGCCCGGGGAGCCGGCGCCGCCCCCGGGGCGACAAGCCCGAGGGCCCCCCCGTGGGGCCGGCGGGGCCGCTACGGCGAAAACGGGGCGACCGTCCCTTTAAGGCGAGGCCTCAATTTGTCCAGCCCCTGGCCCCTTTAAGACGACCCAACAGTGGCCGGCTGGCCTAGTGCGGCGGCCGCCCCCTGCCAGGGGTCGAGGCAAGTCTCCCGGAGAAAGAGGAAGGGCCACCCCTTTAAAAGGGGCCGAAAGCTCGCCCCGAAACGCAGACCTCCCCTTTAAAAGTGTCCCAAGTCCTCCGGCTAAAAGAGGCCACCCCTTTAAGGAGTCCAGGGTTCTTCAAACAGCAGGCCGTCCCTTTAAGGGCTCGGGAGTTGGCTTTTAGTCTTCCACAAGCAGCCACTTCCCCATTAAGCTGAATTTAAAGGACTTCTTGCGTGGGGGGGGGAGGAGGTGAGAAACCCCACTCGCCCTAATTCTCCCAACAGCACAGTTCTCAGTTTGTCAGTGTCTGTTCAGCGGCTTCCCCTTTAAGGCTGGCGTTGTCGTCTGCTTAGTTCCGTTGCCACCCCTTTAAGGAGATTTAAAGGGGCCTCCTCTGGGCCCAGTTCCTCCAGCCTCCGCCTCTGGTCTCCAAGAAAGGCGCGAGGGGGGGCGGGGCCGCGGGGGCCAAACCTCCAAAGCCCCGGATGTGAGGCAACAGTGACGGGTAGAGCTTCTCTGTCCGCCGACATAAAAGTCTCTTCCTCCTTTCCTCCGTCTCTGTCTGACGTGTGCCTTAGGGTATCCAGAACGGCCGCTGGGCACCGGGGAAGCTCCAGCGTACCCTCCCGTTGTCTCCTTTGGAGTCTTGGGCCCCTTCTCTACCAGGACTTCCCCGCCCCTCCTCCCTCTTCCTCCTCAGCCTACACCTCCTTCCTCTCTCTGCCTCCTCCCACTCTCCGCCCCCTTCCCCTCACCCCCCACGGCCTCAGTTGTTGATAGGTTAAGAAGTACACGTCAAGGCGAAGGGCGGAGTCACACTCGGAGGAGAGGGCAACATGGAACCGCCCCCAAACCTTGGATTAGGTTACGTCAGGTTAGCTCCGCCCTTCCTCGAGTCTTGTGACTCGACTGGTTAGAAGTGGGTGTTTGGGGCGGTCCCCCGTGGCCCCGCCTCTTCCTGCTCTTGGTTTTATTGGCCCGCCTTCTGACGGCGTCCAGGAGTCGGGATGTGGGGCATGAGCTGTGGGGGCGGTTGGCCGCTGGGCGGCGCGAGGCTGGGCAGGTGGCGCTCCACAGCCACTTAACGTCGTCTCTCCCTTTCCGCCGTCCCGCGTGGCCCACGGGTGCCCTGTGCCTCGCGCACGCGCGCGGCGATGCCACCGCCCGGGTGGCAGCTCGGCGACCGCTTCGCGGCGTGGGATGACCCGAAATCGCCGCGTGCTTGGCGAGCGCTGGGTGCAACCGCTTCCCGCTACCGCTGGGTTGGATGAGAGGGTGCTGGCCTGCGCTCTCTGAGAGCTAAAAAACATCTTGCATTATGTGCCGGGCGCTTTCTCACATTTGCTAACAATTCTACGAGGTAGATACTGCTATGAGCCCCATTTTACGGAGAAGGAGGGGAGTTGACGAAATAGCGGGTTGTTAGTTTCCCAGCCAAGATTTGGGCTCAAGAAGCCTATCTCTAAGGCTGGCCGGTTAGCTCAGTTGATGACTCGACGGGTTAGAAGTGGGTGTTTGGGGCGGTCCCCCGTGGCCCCGCCTCTTCCTGCTCTTGGTTTTATTGGCCCGCCTTCTGACGGCGTCCAGGAGTCGGGATGTGGGGCATGAGCTGTGGGGGCGGTTGGCCGCTGGGCGGCGCGAGGCTGGGCAGGTGGCGCTCCACAGCCACTTAACGTCGTCTCTCCCTTTCCGCCGTCCCGCGTGGCCCACGGGTGCCCTGTGCCTCGCGCACGCGCGCGGCGATGCCACCGCCCGGGTGGCAGCTCGGCGACCGCTTCGCGGCGTGGGATGACCCGAAATCGCCGCGTGCTTGGCGAGCGCTGGGTGCAACCGCTTCCCGCTACCGCTGGGTTGGATGAGAGGGTGCTGGCCTGCGCTCTCTGAGAGCTAAAAAACATCTTGCATTATGTGCCGGGCGCTTTCTCACATTTGCTAACAATTCTACGAGGTAGATACTGCTATGAGCCCCATTTTACGGAGAAGGAGGGGAGTTGACGAAATAGCGGGTTGTTAGTTTCCCAGCCAAGATTTGGGCTCAAGAAGCCTATCTCTAAGGCTGGCCGGTTAGCTCAGTTGATTAGAACCACAGTGTTGATAACACCAAGGTCAAGGGTTCGGATTCCCATATCGGCCAGCCGCAAAACAAAAACAACAAAAAAGGCAGCCCATCTAGGGTCTGTGCTCTAGCCTCTGGTCTATTCTGCCTATGAATTATGAAAGATGGAGAGTGTCACTGCTGGCCTCTGGTTGCCTGAGTTAGCATTTTAATGTGGCCTTGCTGACATGCTCACCTTGCTTTCTCATCTATAAAACGGCTATAATTCCCTCTCACAGGGCTATGTGCAGGTCGAGTACCTGTGACAGATTGTTGTAGGTGCTCAGTTGTGGCTGATTACTCTTAGTTCTTGAAGCCCACGGCAGGTTCTGGCCTGCACGTTAGGAGGAACTCAGGGCCATTTCAGTTTCCTTGTTGTAAGTGAATTGGGAGAACCCGGACCAGGTCCAGGGTCAGTATCTTTTGGAGCTGATTCAGAAAGTGTCCCTCCACACAGGAGAATTCTCAAATCACGACAGTATCTCCACTGACTAGTCCACCTCCTCTCTGTACCCAATCCCCCTCACCTTCCCTGGCACCACCCCTATTTCTCAGTCTTTTGGGGGCCAAGGTAGAAATATCAGGCAGTGCTGCCTCAAACTTGGCTAGAGAGTCACACAAAAAAATCTCAAACTTGGCTAAAGACACAAAAGAATCAGAAACATATCCAAAACTTTACTAGAAATATAGAGAAAAAATAAAACTGCCTTGGAGGTTTTCCCTCCCTCCAGGACGGATAGACCGACAAACAGATGAAACTCCTAGGTCCGATGGCGCAACTCCCCATCCATTTCTTCCTCCTCCAGGAGCAAGGCATCTAGCTCCTCCAGCCGCTGCTGCAGCAGGGGTCCCACATCCCGGCTGGGGGCCAGGTTGGGAGTAAGGGTCCTGCCAGCTGCAGCCCGGACCCCGCGGGATGGACGCCGAGATCGAGGAAGACTGCTGTCCCGAAATTCTACAGCCCGCCGGAGCTTCCTTGAGCTGGTGAAAATGAGAGTCCCATTGCGCTCCCGGGGTTCCTCAAAGATGGTCTCAAAGGTCCTGGACCAGGCGGGGAGAGGAGCTGGTTACCAGCATGTCCCTGGTTCCAGCCTTCCCTTTACCACCCGTGAGCCTTTAATGTTTCTCACCTCCTGGTCGTGGGTGACTGGTAATTCTTATTGGTGTAAATTTCTTCCAAGCTAAACTCCTTCTTATTCAACCTGAGAGCAAAGAGCAGAGGTGAATGAGAAACCATGGGCCAGCAGGGCCTGAAGAAGGGTTAGGTAAGGCCTGGTCTGTATTTCAGTTTCTGGGACATGCTAGGGCCAGGAGTGCTGCCTGAAGCAGAGATGTAGTTCTAAACACAAGCCATGTCCACACCTAATTGAATCCTCCAGGCTGGCCAAGGCAGCTCCATGCCCAGTGAGTCTCTCACCTGACTGGTCGAGGCAGCCCCATTGGCGTAAGGTTTAGTTGAGGACGGATGGGGGTCCTGCGTATTCTGAATCGAGAAACCTTTCCTATGGTCTGCAAAAATGGGGCAGAGGGTAAAAGAGTGGCATGGGCTCAGGCCCCCACTTGTCTCCTCCCCTCACCGGTACTCCTACCTTGGTCTCAGGGTCTGAAAGCACCTTGTCTTTTGAGACTCTTGGCTCCTTCCCCTTGGATGAACCCAACCTGCAGAGAAGGTCAAGGCTCAGGGACAAACAAGATTCACAGCAACATCCCCATCTCCTGCCCACTGGGTACTTAGGGAAGGAGGCTGAGCCCAGGCTATGGCCAGTGTTTCAAAGAGGGTTTATTGAGAGCACTACCTGGATTCTGCTGGTTCGGAGAAGGAGGAAGTGGATGCAGTGGGCAAACAAGATGTGGAGAGAGAAGGGGAGACTCCCACTCCTCCAAGAGGGAAGACTTCTTTCCGGAGACAGGGCCGAGGGGGTGGTGGGGCTCGGGCCATTTCCCCACCACCCACAGTGTGCCGCCGTGGCCGTGGCCGGCTTGGTTGGGGTGGAGCAGGTGGCCAGGTGCAGGTACCTGGGCTGGGAGGCCCCAGATCAGGGCAGGAGTGACTTCTGCCCAGAGAGGGCTTAAGAAGAGGTGCTGGGGTATTGTGGTCCTGAGCCCGCCACTGATGGATAGGGGGCCGGGGACTAACAGACTCGGTGCCCTCAGCAGCCCCAGACTGCTCAGCTTCTGAGATGGCGATCTTCAACTCCAGCTTCATGGGGGGCGATGGGGGTGGGGGCTGCGGGGCTTTGTTGGGCGTGAGGAAGATGTCGGCGAAGCTCTCCAGCTTGGAGCGGACGGAGCGGAAGAGGGGGGCCAAACCCCAGGGACTGAGGCGGGGGCGTAAAAGGCTGGATGGCTGTGGGGTCGATGGGGGCTCCAGAGCAGGATCTGGGGCTAAGGAAAGGAGAGGGTCATGGGTGTGCACTCTTCAGCTGAAGGTGTCTAAGCCCCACCTCAGAAGTCTTCGTCCCTCCCCCAAACACTAAACTTTGTCTGCAGAGGAATAAGCCCACCTCTAAAACACTAAGTCCTGCATGTAGGAGTGAAACCTTAAGCTTCATCCCTCTACCTGAGTCCTTACCTGGTAGTGGGCTCTCTGGAGGGTCTGTGGGCAGGATAGATGGCTGGAATGAGGGTTCTAGATCCCTGGCTGGAGGCATTGGCTGGTGAACCATCATCATGCACTCAGCTCTGGAGTGAAGGGACAAGGTGAAGGTTGGGGGAGCTTCCAGGTCCAGATCCCATCTGAGACAGCACCTCCCCTATCCCTTACGGCTTCTGAAGTTGCTACAAGGAATGGATAAGTAAATCCTGATTCCCCTAGCTCTGGCTATCTGGATGACGAGTGTTGCCTGGATACTTTGATAATGCCTCCCCAACCCTCTCACCTTTGTGCTGGGACGATGAAGTTGGGGCTGTCATCGGTGAAGCCCTGGATAGAAACAGAGGATGTCTGTGGAGGGACAGGGTGCAGGGAAGCCTCCTTAGTCCTCCACATCCCAACTCTTTCAGACCCCAGATACCTGCTTGGGTTCATACCAAAGACTTTTTTTTTTTTTCCCCATTTTGGTGGCTGGCTGGTAGAGGGATTGAACCCTGGACCTTGGTGTTATCAGAACCACAATCTAACCAACTGAGCTAACTGGCCAGCCCAAAGACATTTTTATATAGTCTTTGCTCAGGCAGTGTCCACCACCTAAAATGCTGTCCTCCTTGCCCTGAGAGAAATCTACCCCAGACTCAGGCCTCCTGCCCCTGGCTTCCATCCCTGCTGGAGTGCGTGGCTCCAGTTACACCCCTGAAATCCTTACCCTAAGCTCACATACCGCAGCTGGAGATCTGGAACTGGCAATGTCTTCCAGCATCACCACCAAGGTAGGTTGGGGGGCCTGGTCCACCTTTTGTGAAGGGCCTTCCTCTGGGCCAGGGGTTGTCCTTGACCGCCACCTCAGGGTGAAAGGGGACCGGTGGATTCGGCTCAAAGGCTCTCGACACAAATGCAGTGGGTCTGGAGGCCTAGAGAGGGAACAGGAAGATCAAGAAGGGCTCAGCTGTGTTCCCAGTTTACCTCCCATTCTGCCATGCTCACCTGGCCTGTGAGGACCACATGGCCCGTCTGGGCGGTGAGGCAGGCGGCTGGCTGTGGACAGAATCCTGATGATTGCTGCAGTGCTGTGGGAAGGCAGTCTCCTTCTGGGGATCCAGGGGGACCTAGGAGAGGAAGAGGTGTCAAGAACAAGGTGATAGAATGAGGGTGGACTGGACAGGTCCCCCTAACAGTGCCTTTAGCCACAAAAGTGACAGAGATTATAGCTAGAATTAACTCAAATCCCCAAAGAGGTGAACTGGACTGAATTAGGGGCAAGATATTAGAGTCCTGAGCTGCAGGTGTGGGGCCTGGGTAATCTCACCCAGGCTGGAGAAATAAAAAAGAGAGGGTGACCTTGGGTGGGTCACTGCCTTATTTTGGGGCTTAGTTTTTCTCATCTGTGCAATTGAGCCAAAGATCTCAGCCTGCTTCCCAAGGATGTTGGGCTGGGAAGAAAGCAGAAGGGTTTCTCATATTTAGAGTTCTAGGGATGTGGTTCCAGCTCAACAGGATTGGTGGAGGGGTGATGGGCACTGGAGACCCTGTCCAATTCCAGGTTGGAGTAACTGGGAGCCAAGCAGGACTTTAGCATTAGGGAGGCTGCCTGAGTGATGGGCAGAAGAAGGTGTTTGGACCTCAGGTATCCTCAGATGTGGTCTGAGATCCTGAGGAAGGTATGGGGGAAAGAGTCTCTCAGTTCAGGGGGCTCACCATGTGGGCAGCCATGACATCTTCCAGCACCACTGCCAGGACCCGCCGAGAGGCCTTTTCTAGGGGCGAAGGGGTCCCCCGGGGCTGCAGCCTCGGCCGTTTTGGGCTCCCGGCTCCCCATAATGCTCGAGCCAGGGGCTGGCGGCACAGACGCGACTGGCCAGGCGGGCTGGAGGGTGAAAGAAGCAGAGGACGGTCGCCTGAACCTGTCGTTGGCTTTATAGTTTCCCGGTACGGCCGCCAGGATCCCCGGCTCCCGGGTTCAAGACAGGCGGGCGGGGTGCGCTCTCACCTGGAGTCCCCGGGCAAATCCATGGGGGAAGCGGCGGCTCCGGGGGGTCCCTGGGGGATCCCAGGCTGCGGCCTGGGGTAAGGGGGGAGCGGGGGAGCGGGGAGTAAGGGCCAGCTCCTCCCCCGGGGCTCCGCCCTTCATGGTCCGCCCGCGACTCCCGGTAGCCCACGGGCCGGAGCCCTGGGGCGCGGAAAGGCGTCCCCGGCCGGCCGCCCGGAGCGGGTGTTCTCCCGCTGCTGCCGTCTGGATCAGAGGATCACTCGCACCCTGCCTCGCATCTGCCCCGAGAACCTGGATTGCGGCGGCCCCAGTTCTCCCACGGCCCGAGCCTCCCGGGGTCTTTGTCCCTGCAGATTCCGCCCTGAGATCCCCAGGAGATTCAGTTTCCGCTGGATCTCTCTGCGATCCTCTCCTGCACTGCCAGCGAGTGGCCGAGAACTTCAAAGCAATCCTCTACACACCAACAGTCCTCCCTCCCACCAGATCCCCTAGACCGGATCCCTGTGGAAAGAATCCTATAGCGCGGTTCCTCCAATCAGACGCCGCGCGAGGATCCTCCTCCCCCTGTGAGCTTCAGCTCCACAGAGCTCCACTCAGACAGGGGCGGCCGGAGCTTAAGCATCACAGAACTCAGTCTGGATCCCCGGGGATCCACTGTCAAGCAGATACCCCCTTCGCTCCAATCCCGGGAGGTCCCGCCCACGCCTCCCCTCCCGGCCCTCCCCGGATCCCCGCCCAGCGTTCTCCTCAGTCCGGGACCAGATGGTTCAAATGTTTCCTTCCCCGCCCTCTCTCCAGCCACTCCATGCCCTCCCCCGCGCGCCGCTCACCGCCGCCTCCCGCGGGTCCAGGGTCTTCCACAGCTCCCACCTCCGGCTCCTTTAAAACCAGCCTTACCTAGCACTGCCCAACCGCCGAGGGCCTTCTTCTCGGAGCGCCTGGGCACCGCCCAATCGCCGGTCCCCGTCTTCCGGGGTGTTAAGAAACTAAGTGAAGCCGCCTGGCGGCCATCATCCCTACGGGCAAAGCGGCCGAATCGGGCAGCGCTGGCATTATAGTCGAGGGCAGACATCGCAGTCCTCGTTGAAGGTAGTGGACAGGATGGCGTCATCTGTTGAGGGCCGGTCAGTGGCCAAATACTATGCCAGGTTTTTTCAGCTTCTAAGGCAACCGTAGTGAAGCCGGAATGACGCCACGTTTTTTAAGGGCATTTTCAGGTTCTTTCGTTCCTAGGCCGATAAACGTGGACTGAGTGCTAACGACATGTGAAATTCCAAATTTCCTGGAGAGGCCAGATTTGAAGCCTGTTCCGGCACCGGCCTGGGTTCCTCAGTGGGGTTCCCACGGCACAGAGCTCGCGCTTGGGAGGAGCTGCCGAAGGCCCTGAGCCCGAACACCTGAAGTCACAGACTAGGGCTGGGGCGGCCTCTGGCTCCATTGCTTGCGCTGTAGCCTGGAGAGATGGGGCTACGCAGAAGTGAGTTGGAAGCTGGGGGCGTTGAGCTTCACTTCACCTGAGTGTTGTATATTTCTTCCTGGAGGAGTGGGGGTGTCTGCGGGCCGCGCAGAGGGCTCAGTATAGGGGCCTCATTGCAGGAGACCAATAACCCACCTTTTCTTGCGCGGTGGGGCTCAGCCCGATTCCCTCTTTCTGTTCCGGGCTCCCAGGAGCCACTCTCTTAAGAGGGATCTGCTTGATGGGAGGTGTAAATAGTCCTGAGGAGTAAGGGGTCAGGAGATCCTGCTGCTTGGGGAGGCTTCATCGTGGATCCTTTACTGGGAGCCACGCTGTTGGTGGGGAGGAAGTGGTCATGTACTGGCTTCTTGCACTGTGAAGGCACCCTCTCTGCCTAACCAAAGCCCGGGAGTCCACTGGTCTCCTTCCCCAGGATTCCCTGGTCCAAACCAGTCCTTATTCTCTTGATAGAACGAGAGAGGCTGAAGCCTAGAATCCTGGGTCTGAGATCAAGGTGCAGAGGCACCTCCCAGCTCAGCATAAGTCTCTCTCAGGGGATTGAATGACGAAAGTAATGAAACAGAAAGAATGATATGGAAAAGAGCAAAATTGGTAAGAGCTCGCATGGAACGTGGACACCCCCCAACTCTGTTCCCAAGGACTCATCCAGATTGAAGCTCTCCCAGGACTACAGTATCTCTCTTTGTAACTCAAGGCCTGCTGAATCCTCTGGAATCCATTATGAGACTTGTGGCGGTAGTAGGCAGCAGCTCTTCCAGCTAGAGCTGTCCTCTGTCCCTCTAGCTCAGGGCTGGCTGTGTATGGTGCCTGAGGGTATTCTTGGAGCTATGGCGATGATTCATTCAGCTGCAGGTGCCTGGAGATCCTTCTCAACCTTTAGTGGAAAGCTAAACATACAGGTGTTTCCCAGGCCCCAGGGTGGGAAAAGCCCACAAGAGCAGAACAGGCCTAATCTGAATTTTGATTCTCTAGTCTCCTGAAGATGTCAACAACACCAAGGACAGAGGGAGTAGCCTAAAGAAAAGGCCTGGGCCTGAGAATCTGGTAGGAAGGGCCCTGCCCTGGGACCCTAACTTGGGGTACTGGAGTTCATCAAATTCAAGTCTGAGGTAGACTGTGGCAATCTGAGCCCTCAGCCCAGGCCAGCAAGAGTGAGCCCTCATAGCCTCATGGTCTCACCTCTGCACTTTTTGTGATTACCTTTTCAGCAACAACTGCCTTACCCACCACCTGTGTACACACCGCAGCTTGTGGCCATTGTGCTGATCCAGTGGTAAGAGGCTGCACACAGCCTCCAGCAGGACTGGTGATGTGGCTGGAGATTGGCAGTTAGTGCACTTTGGTGTGTCATTCATCGGAAACTCTGAGCCCCTTTAGACTCTGGGTCTCCCTTCTTAACTGTTCCTGGCTTCAGTAGTCTCATATGTAAGATGGGAACAATAAACCCATCATGCTTACTTCAAAATAGACTTGGAATAGTCAGGCTTACTTCAAAATAGACTTGGAAGACCAAGAGCAAGCGAGAAGACACATCCAAATGTGCTTGATAAAGAATTTAAGTCTCAAGCTACAGGTAAGAAGTGGATGATAAAAACTGCTACTTCTTCCTCTCAGACAGCCCTGTGCCTTCTGGTCCTCAAGCCAGCTGCCCTGCTCAGTACTGTGTAGAAGCCGCTAACCTGAGCTGTAGATCAGCCAGGGGAGGTTGGGTTGGGTTGGGTTGGTTGTGGCTATAGGGTATTGAGATGTGTGGGATGCTTAGTTATAGCCTTTGCCAAGAGCCACTCCTGAGAAATGACAAGAAGCCTTGGGTTTGGGTTGCTGCTCTGGTTTGCATCAACCATTCAACAGATTTCAACACCTCCCATGTGCTGTGCCCTGGGGAGAGATAGGTGCCTGTGCCGTGGGAGTTTGGGGTTTGTATCACTGCATTTATATCCCTGTATACAAGATTGCCACTGGCTCTGCTGCTTCCCTCAGCTTCAGTCCTCTCCATTCCAAAGTACTTGGTTCAGCCAGGTTTTGGCACATTTTTGCCCAATTTAACTCCCCTGATGTGCAGTATTCAAGACTCACCTCTAGGGGCTCTTCTGCTCTGCTTGGCTACTTCAGGTTACTAATTTTGTGTTTTAATCGGAGAAGGCTGGTCCTGCCCATGGTCTACCTCTTTTTTCCCAGTGTAGAGAGCCACCTGCCACCAATTCCGCCTTGGCCTGCCTTTTTATTGGTGGGGAGATGCTTAGGCAGGGGTCAGGCTTGTAGGATCTGAGCTGTAAAGTAATAGCGCTTATGGTGAGGATGTTGGGAGGGGAGAGGTTGGGAGGGTTGGAGAGAGAGCAACGAAAGGTGAAGGGAACTGCCTGTGAATATCAGAAATAACAGTATGTCACTGTGCCAGCTATCAATTTATTACCTCTCAGCTCCAAGTTCATCCTTTTTTTTTTCTGCTCTGTGAAAATGGATCTTTGCCCTTTAAGTATTTTTTCTCTGCCAGCTGGCATCATGTTAAGTTTTGTTAATAGAAGGCTGTAGGAAGAAAGAGTTTTGCTTCCTTGTTCTAGTGAGCCCTGCTGGCAGGCTCCTCCAGTGCAAGTGGGTTCCCCAGCTCCCAGCTTCTCCAGCGCCGTGCGTGGTGGCCTCCAGTCCCCCCTGGTGCCCTCCTTGGATGGCTTTGTAGTGGAGTGTCTCTAGTGAGACACCTTCCCATAAGCAGCTTTCCCTGGCACCCCAGACAGAAGATTTCCAGCAAGTTCCACCAGAGTGGCAGCCCAGTAACTTCTTTTTGTTTTTAGTTTTTGGTGGGTTTTTTGGCGGCTGGCTGGTACAGGGATTGA